TATGGGAGGGAAAATGCCTTTTCTGTGAAAGATTCATTCAAAAAGTGTACATAATACTAAACTTAATGTGCAAATTACCAAGTTTGTCAAGCATGTGCAAAGGCTTTGCTCATGTACTATACGTAGGGGCAAGCTATTGAAAAAAAATCACACAATAGCAAAAAAAATAATCCTTTATTGTTCTGAAAAATGATTTTTTGTCGTTTCTAGAAAATTCCAGTTGTCTGGACATACACATGCGTGTGGCGGCAGTTTCTAGAAGTTTTCTAGAAGGTTCTAGAAGATTCCTGATGTAGACATTGCGTATTATATATATATAAATTAGCCTTTGAAATACATAAAATATAAAAGTTAGAAACTAACTAGATACTTTTAAAGAATATTTGTAGTCTTCGGAATAAATAGATACAAATCGCCGCGTTCAACGTTTTCATCAATAAACATGGATATTGACTCAAAGTTGAAAAACTTCGATTTTTCGAAGTTTATACTAAATGTAGCATCTGCTCCGACTAATATTTGCGTAAATTCAAATTGCAAGAGTAAGTTATATGTTGGAAGTATATCCAAAGCATTAAGAAGAACACCACTGACGAAAAAAGCTTGTAAAGTTTCTGTTCAATTACGTTTGAGCATTTATTATTATTTCAAGGTATTTATTAAGCTGTGTCAACATATTTGTCGGTCATGTTTGCAATTAGCAGAACGTGATATAAGACAGTTAAAATTTGGTGCGTACACCAAGGTCACCTTATAACAGTCTTAGTACTCCCCAACAAAAAATTTATCATCCATATTTTTTTGGTAGAGTTCTGCACATCATTGTATACTTAGTTCAAAAATAAAAATCGAGTAATATGTGAAACAATTTGTTAAGATTATACAATGCCGACCAAATGTATACAAATCATCTATCTCGAGAAAAAATATAGCACAATAAAACATACAGTTTAAGTTAGAATATATATGATTGGAGTAATGCATACTTATATTGAATCATTTTGCAACAAATTCTAAAAATATTCTTTGTCGTTATACCGTTATATATTGTTATGAACAGTTAACCGCGCCCGAACAGTCAAGTGGAATCAATTAACATGTAATAAACCACAATTTATTTAACTTTTTTCCGATCCATGTTCAATTTGACTCTTATGCAAAACGAACTTGAAACTCGCGTACCTTTGTTTAGGGTTCATAGAAAAAAACTTTATTTATAGTGAACGCTAGGTTAAGACGTCAGCTCATGTTAGAAAAAGTTAGAAAAAAATCGCTTTTTTGATCCGACGTATCATCACCCTACAGAAAATATTTTATTGGCACTGGTTGTGCATAGATACGCACCGATGCCCAATAATTTTATTTGTGGGCGATCGTGCGCACCAGTGCCAGAAAGACTGCAGAAATCACGCACCAATGCCGAAGTTTCGTTTTCAATCACCATTTTATTTTGTCAATTTCTGTCTACATTAACACCACAGTCCACTTCTAATATTTCGAATGTCTTTCTTACTTCATTTTTTCTTTCTCATAAGAGAACTGCCGAGGCAATGCCGCACGGTTTTGGCATGTCAATGTGGTACTGATCAGTGCCGCACTCTAATACAAAATCCAGTATAAACAACCATAATAAAAAACTAATTAAACTGACGAAATAAATTCCAGTACGTCATTTTTTGGGCAGAAATATATCGGCACTGATGCGTGCGGATGTCAATCAACACTGGTTCGCCACTTGCTGAGCACGAGTGCGCATCGGAGCCAGCCAGTGTCACTGACCGATGACATGTCATGCGCACTGGCAGTGCCGCACTGGAATTTTTTTATAGGACATCTTACTATGGCGATTGTACGATATACACTGATGTTCACTGGAGTAGATATTGGGACGTAAAGGGTTAATGTGCCAAAAGTGATGTAATGAGAAAGAACAAATAGATTCGTTCAATTTACCGATCGTAACTTATTGTAGGTTTCACTATTTATTCAAGTAGAAGAAACACATTTTCAATGCTTTGAGTATGGTTTATTATTTTTTTTAATTTTACTTTCACAAATATTTCGCTGTAATCTACAGAATTACTTGTACAAGTCCCTTTACAAAGGATTCGCTCGACAATGATACTGATTCTTTGTACGAGATGCATGTGAGCTTGACTAATCCAGCGGTATTCGTCTATGATACACTGTCAAATTTAACAACCACAGTCATTGTCTTCCATTGAAAAGTAAAAAAGCGTTTGTAAAAGTAATATTCCTCACAACACATAATTGTTACTTCAAAAATATACTGTTATCAACATGTCTACATAAATATGGCAAGATTTTTTTTATCTGAAGACGGATATGAGCTATTAACAATCGCCAAAAAAAATAATACATGCAAAAATCGTACAAAACAACTCTCCATTATGTAAATTTTAGTTGAAAGTAAAACAGTCGCCTGATGGTACATATGAATTATATTCATCAGTATCTCATGATTATTAACAACGAAATTCAGACTACCATCACCAATTCGTGAATATGTCATTAGAATGTCACAACGGATCATTCAAGTATTAAATTTATCCAAGATTTACAACATTCATCACGTCAAAATGTACCACCAACAAATAAACAATGCGACATATTTATACCTTATCATGTGAATGATTTACTTATATGTATAACGACACGCCAATTATTATCTTTGTGCAGTTAAATCCTATGGTTTAAGTGAGACCACATAGCTGCTGAATGAGCCTCAGGTTGAAGGACGGTGTCATGATTTCTTAATTTTCTGGGATCAATTATATTTTTCAAGAAATAAATAGCTTTTTTCGGGATCAGTTGTGTTATTATATAACTAATTAAAAATTATTAGAAAAACCGATCATTTGTGCATTTTTTCGTGAAAATTACTAAACGAAATCAATTGTGCTTAATTTTCGGGATCAAAAATATAAGTATCCTCCAAAGAAGCTCATTACTGACTAATTGTACTGTGTAAACTGCAAGCAGTATATATTTGTCTTGGATGCGGCAAGAAGCAGCCAGTCTTATCCATTTCATGCTCTAGACAGATGTATTCGTTCCGTCGATCGTTGATGATTATGAAGTTTACATCTTTTTATACCCTTAGTAAGCAACAGCATAATTCCTAAAAATCTACCTTTTGTCTTCAAGTCAAAAAACTACATTTTTCAAAGAAAAGTGCGTATAATAATCACTGCGTTGATGATGCAATTTCAAGAGCATATTCCAGCGATATTGACTTTGCTCTTCCCAATTTAATATCTCGATCCTGATCAACAACCATTAGACTGTAAACAAGTTCTACACTTCAATTTTAAAATAATCACGGATGAAACGTGGTAAACATCGTCTAAAATGAATATCCAATAAGGAGACATACTACACCTCATCCGTGTTCATACTATATGTGAGCTACCTTTTTACGGGCTTAAAGTATAGTACTGAAATCCTATTAGATCTGTTTTGAAAACCTATCACGCGCAGAGCGTCTTATAGTACGCTTGGAGCGTGGATTAACCAAGTGTGATACGGCGATGTTTTGAAATACAGAACCAGTATAATATTCGAAAAAAATTCCACGTTTTGAAGTATGGGCGTTATAATTGAAAGTTTATCCATGATTTTTTTACACTTGGTGTGTACGCTTTTTACAGTGATATACTTATAGTGCAATTTCTGCACCTCAAGCATGAAATTTTAACATCTTAACTTAGAATATTCTCACTGCCAAGAGATAATTTTACATTGAAAAGCCTTTCTAAGGAAAAGAGAATAGTTGAAAACTTACAATACTTAGTATAGTGCTGTTTTAGAAGACAAAAGTTACAGATAACGAGTGACCCAGAATAAATGACGGTCTCAGTATTTTGCTTACAACTTGGTTTGGATTTGTTTCCGAGACTCGATGTTTTTTTGTAAAAGATGCGCTGCGAAGTACTGTACAAAATCATACTTAAACTATAGTTTCAAAAGTTCAATCAAGAAAACTAAGCCAATTAGATGAAAGTCAAAAAAATGAAAACTTTCCAAACTTAAAAATGAGTTTGAGCGTTCAGTAAAAGTCCCATAACTCCATCAAGATAAAAGCTTTTTCGGTCAGGTTTGTTTTGATCAGAAATGATTGTTCTTCTCTATTGTTCATGTTTTTCGTGTCTTACCTGAGCACATTGTTGGAAACGGGGAGGTTATCAACATTTAACGTATTTTTGTAACTTCGTTTCCCAGCACAACATCTGCTCTAAAAAAAATTTTTACAGATCACGAGAAAGAGCACATTTGAAAGTACTAAACATAAACCGCGTTCTCACTTTTGCTATACTTTTTAGCGGAAATAGTAGCAGAAGAAAAAGTTCAAGTCCAAAAACATTTCGAGTTTAGAAAGTTTCCATTTTTTTGACTTTCATCTAATTGACTTAGTTTTCTCGATTGAACTTTTGAAACTATAGTTTAAGTATGATTTTGTACAGTACTTCGCAGCGCATCTTTTACAAAAAAACATCGAGTCTCGGAAACAAATCCAAACCAAGTTATAAGCAAAATACTGAGACCGTCATTTATTCTGGGTCACTCTTTATATTCTTGACAAGTGAAATCATAGGACAACGTTGGCTTACAACTGATTCAAAACAGCTGTTGTAAACCTGACTTTCTAGAGCAGATTCAGTAGTAGTTGAAGTGGTAGTAGTGAAGTTCTTAACACAAGTGTGGTCGTCCTATATTTCATTCGTAGAATTTTATCATTACACTTGATCCGTGTTTTCTGCGACAGTATATTCATTGTGAATTTTTCTTATTGCTATTTTCTTATTTGTCAGTACTATCGTAAGCACGAACTAATGAAAAGAAACTGTTCGAACTCTCTCATATTTCGTCTAAATTTCCTTTCGGAGTTTTTTTTATATGGAATGTTTAAGGTAATACCTTAAACAGATAATCTCAATGCTTTGTATCACTCGCATTTATTGTGTCTGGAACTATTTTGTCCCTATGAGTAAGTATAATGATCGATTGGTTCTTTTCTAATGTATAGCCAGCCAGTCAGCTAACCAGCTTTCTCCTTGCCTCTATATATTCTTTTTATGTAGATTCAATATGCATATACGAACTGAAATAAAAATAAGTAGTCTGTCATACGCTGAAAAAGACTCTGCTGTCAGTTTCATAAACTGTCTGTAAATTAAGCAGAGGAAAAATACTAATGAGATTCTCTCGTTTTTTAATTGTGCCATTTCAAGACAGTTGATTGACAGTTCTATAGAAAATCTATCAGAGTTTACAGAAAGTTTTACACACAACATCGATGCACACTGATGATACATTTTCCATGGAACTACCCGGTTGTTATTAAACTTAATTATTTTAATCGATCTCTAACTCCGTTTGGAAAGTATATTTTTCAACTGGGAAAGGGATCACATTCAACAATGACTTTTTCTTCAGCATAGGAATAAATGATGAAAAAATTTGGCTGTTGAAAAGCTTATTTACTAATGGAATCTTCAACCTTCTTTTAGATGAGTAAATTAGATCATCGTTCATCATCTTCGAATGGGATAAGAAAATTATTTGTTGGTGATATTGGAGATAATCGTAAACCAGATTTAACTAAAGTATTTGATCGTTATGGCGAAATAATTACGATGTACGTTGATGAAAATAAAAAATTTGGTTTTGTTGAATTCAAGACGCCAATGGATGCAGAAAGAGCCTTAAATCATACAAATAATAAAATGGTTAACGGTTCAAAATGTGGGTTTGGTGTTGCTGGTGTCCTGTTATTCAGTCACTCTAATCTGTGTTTGTTTTTTAGTGCGCGTTGAATTTGCTAAAGTCGATAAACCAAGAGAAAAACGTGATCATTCACAGTTACAGCCACCGTTGCGTCCATTGATTCCATCGATGTATGGTCATCATCCACAACATTTAGGATTTCCTCCTCAACGTTTACAACGTCGTCCATTGACTACACGAGGAAGATCTTTAACACCACCAAGGTGCATTTCGATTTTGTTCTATAGATAAAATTGTTCTATATTAAGGCTTCTGTTACTTTTAGTTTAAAAAATCGTCTTGGTTTACGTCAAAGACTAACGCACGATATGTTAGCAGCTCAAGATTTACTCGGCTATCCTCCATTTCCCTATTTTGATTATTCTGCCGCTGCAGATTTTTATCATCAAGCAGCTGAACAATTTTATAACAATCCATATCTAATGACAGATCCACGACGACCACCGACCCCGAGATCTTATCGTAATTCAGATAATGGACCAATGGATGGACGTCGCGGAAATATGGGACCCATGCATCAGCAACATTTATCGCAAGATAACCGACGAAACTTTCAATTATCACCGGTACATGGTCCTCAACGAAGTCGTGGTGATTTATCAACATCTTCGAGATATAATAACCCACAAATAAATAATAACAACTATTCAGCAAGGGGAGATAGAGAAAGAAAACAACAGAAAAGAAGTCGAAGTCGTTCACCACGCCATCGGTAAATATAGAAAGATTATTCTTTCTCATTGCTGCTCATGATGAAATAAGTACTCTTTATTTTCTTAATACACGCTTATATCTCTATTTAATTACGGCTAAAGATTCTTTTATTTTTATTTTTCTCCTTTCTAAACTTGAAACAAAATTATTGCTCTCATTATTCTAGCCATGCCGGCTAATATTAGGTTATCGGTGACAACACATATCTATTCATCACAATTTTGTCGCAATTCAAAATATATCTTGAATAAGCCTAATTGATCGATCGATCGATGTACCGTCTAATCGATACTAATATAAATTTCTAAACGTCACACGAGGTCTAGTTAATTCGCACAGTATTCAACTTTGGATCAAAATGAAATTCATGAATGGTATACTGTTTTCGATCGTTCTTTTCTCCTACCGCACCATCGTATTTTCAGCGTTCGATTGTAGACACCTCATCTTCTCCTACTAACTCATCGAAAAACTATATCTTTCACAGTTATCATCGGTTTATAAAGTGCGAAAGGAATTCAAATCAGAGCGAGTTTTTCTTTCGTTAACTACTATTACATGTATTACGATGTTTGTTTCAATCGAAATGATTATTGTCGATCACATGAAAACACTGATAATGAACAACAACTGATGCAAGAAGAATATGATAGTATACATATATGTATATTAAATGGTTGAATAGTTGAGATAGATGAATTGAAATATCTTACAGAATTCATGTCGTTGCATGAATCAAATGTTAAGTCAAGAAAAGAAAATGATGATCACAAAGTTTCTCCTTCAGTTTCGTCGAATCCGGTATTATCAAAAAATCAATATCAAGAAATCTTCGCTATACGATTCCACTAATGCGTTGGGAAAAAAAAGAAATGTAAAATGGACGAAACTACATTAGGACGTAGTTGTAAAGATTCAAATGGTAAATCTACAAATTTTTCTAACAAAGTGAACAAGAGCCAATAGTGTACGGTCAATTTTTCTCAATAACAATTCGCACCTCAACTCAATGGTAAAAAAAATAATAACATCATATGTGTTCCAGCTAAAACAACACCAAGATCTCGCTGGAGTTGGTTTACATGTAAAAACTGGTAGTATGTGTTGAGCGCTTTGCATTGTACTTGACACAAAGCATGCCTTTCATTGAGTGAAATATAATTTCCAGCTACTTTGTCATCTCAAGGCAAATAGTAATCGCATTTTACACCGACGATCGATTGATCTTACACGCATAATCGAGTCAAATTTTTTGTTTACCAGTATTAAGCACATCGTTTTTGTTTACTCGTTAAGAAACATTTTTATATTGAAGCAGGTTCTAGGTCGCATCGTAACATAAATATACATCTATAAAAATAGTAAATAATAACAGTAGCTACTTACTAATTACACAAATTGGTGTTCACGAGTATTAAAAATAAAAATAAAAGTAGGTTCATTTAGTATTTTTGTTTATATTATTTATATTTTAAATATTATATATTTAAACAAGTAACATAATACTTCTGTTTCTTATACACTTGGAGATTTTATCATTGAGATTCTATACAAGGATAATAAACGCTTTGTCTCTAGTAAAAACCATATTAGTTGTACAATTATGTAACAAAAAAAAATGACCGGTTTAAAGTACAATGTATTCCAACAAAATTGACTTAGTATAGTCGATCAAGACACATTTTTTTTTGGTCCTTGCTGACCGATAGCTGAACACTGTTAATCATTCTTGCCGTGTAGTTCTACGTCTTTAGCATTTATATTTTCTGTATTCTAGTTCTCGAAGTCCATCGAATGCATCATCCAGTGACTCGTCATCGTCAAGTTCTTCAAATGATAGACGACGAGATAGACGAACATCCGACAGAACACGTGATACTTCAAAAACAACAAAACGGTATGATACAACTAATCATTTCGTCTATAACTCAATTCTGTATATATCTGATGAACTATTTTTTGTGAGAACTATGATTTTTTTTGCATTCTGGAACAATGGATTTTACTTTATAATGTTGATATATACTTGAACCATGCATTGTCTAGATCTTTTATAATTATCTTTCTCTTATTTCTTTTTAAGTTCAAAAGACGATTCTCGTAAGGATGGAAAAAAGAAATCGAAAAAGTAAAGATGCTCAAAACAGTTGATATTGAACATTTATTTAGTTTTTGTTCTATGTAAATTTGTTAAATAAATTTTTTAAATTTGCCATTTTTCACTCTCTTTCGCTTTTTGTTGTTGCTTTTCTAAAAACAAAATACTGTCATTTAGAAAATAGAAAGTATTTTTTTAGCATTTTCATTGTATATATACAGTGGCTAACAGGGCTATGACTCTCTGTAAAAGAATTTTACCTGATGATCTCTCTAGAAAAAACTTTTTTGATAAAAGAAAATTTTTTAGCATACTATTCCCTCCTTCACCTTGGTAACATTCTGTGTATGCCACTGTGTATTTAACGGAATTTTTTTTGAGCTTGGTTTGTTTGTCTCGTTTTTTGTAGGCCATTTTGATTTATTTTGCTTGCACAATTGTTTCTTGCGTATATTTGTCATACGGAAAGTTTCGTCTTATTATCATATGTCTGTTAATAATGGCGTTGTTAATTGTTTTTTGGTTCACGCTGCGATCTATACGATCTTTTCTCGCCTATTCAATAAAATGGAAGTCTTTGATAGTGGATGTTTAATAAAGTGTGCTTGTGCAACAGTGTTTTATAATTGAAGAAGAGAAAACACTTCAATTATTTGATGTAGTTGTTGGCTCAAACCGATTTATTCTAGTATTGTTCAATCCTATTGTCAATAAAAACAGCTTTTGTTGTAAAAATGAGAAACATTAGAATTTTGAATTGTACGAATCTAATCTTAGTTTCTTATTACTTTGCATGACTTTTATGATGACTGCTGAGAGATGCAAAAATAAATACATTATATAAAAGATAAATACCATTTACAGGAAGATATGGACTTGTATGCAAATACAAAACAGATTATATACAAAGTTTGATGTCTATGTCCTTTCATCTCTAAATATTATTATTTTACTGGTCTTTGACTTGTTCACTGCTGAAGTATTATTCATATTCGCCGTTGGTTTATGGAATCAAATTTGTAACGCAGTGTTTTTACATAAATGGAGCGAAATAGATGTTACTATTTCTCGACGAAAGGCACTTATCGATACGTAAATGTTGAAATTTGTACTGTCATTGTTCTGAAATCATTGACGCATTATTTATTTTATTATTTGATGACTTTTTCCATGGCTACCTACATTAACATTGCTTAAGATAATGTGGCATAACGTTTCTGAATAGTAATCAATAATGTGATACATCGAAATTAATTAGTGATCTATTGTCTCTCTTCGAAGGGCACGAATTTTTGAAAATTCTTTTTGTGCAACAAAAAAGATGTTTTAGGATATGTACAGTCATGTAACATGAGGAAGTTAATATAGTCTATTTCATTCAACACTAAATAAAGTTTTACTAGGATTTAAAATCATGCTCATTTCGCTAAGCTCGTAAAAAAACCCTTTGAGTAGGGTTTCTATAAAATTAGGAAATTTTTCCACTCGCAATATATGAACATTTTTCTTCTGAAGAACGCTTACAAGCTGAAAGCTTTTTAAAGAACGTAATAAAATAAAAATAATTACTAAAAAACCAAAGAAAAAAAATGTTTTTGCTCGTAGGGCTACAAACAGAATAACTTTGCCCGTGCAGATTTCTACTTAAAAATATCTGTTTGACAAAAAATAATACTAAAATTGACTAAATCAGTATAGAATAAGATAAGGATATGAAATTTCTTATTGGACAGGATACAGGATACGAAAAAATGATCTATGATATAATGATATCATCATTGAGCTGTAAAATTTATGGTCAAGATGAGGTAATGAATGGAAATATTCACTATTCTATGCGAATGTTTCTTATAGAAAAATGTTATAAAAAATTCATCGTCTATAAATGTGGTGCCAGCTTCGATTGTGTCGCAATCCAGTTGAATCAGTAAGTATCAGTTTCAAATTCTCATTCTTCATAAGATCAATATTACATGGCCAGAAACGACCTTTGACCACTATACCACAAAGTACAATTCATCGTATGAATATTCTGAAAATGAGTCGCTAGTTTCTATGTGTGAGATGTTGATAACAGTTAATCATGGCCATTGTATCGTATCTTGACCGAATTTTCTTCATCAGTTTACAGACTAATCGTGTATTTCTAGCGCATTATCAGAGATCGTCTAAAAAATTGTCCTTCTTTCATTGCTTTTTCACAATATATGTGTAGCATAAATTCTGTTTTTAATTGATAACATAGATGAGAAACGACTTTTTTCCCAAGTTGCTTTTTAAAAGTCACAAGACCAAGAAACTTTTTGTGGTCAAAGAATCACAACATTCTGAGACATTGCGTAAGCCGATAATTTGCATAACGGTAATATTGACCTTTAATTTAATTAGTTCGCTCAAATAGAAAGCGTATTATAGAATATTGTCTACTCTAAGATATGTAGACGCAAATAAGAACAACTAAAAGATGGAAAACGAGTATCAAGGAATTTCAGTCAGATTTGCCTAGTTTCAAGATATTAGAAAGACAGAGTCCGAAGAATTCAGACAGACTTTTTTCATAAAACAAGAAACATATCTTTCTGAACCGTAATTCGAAAATGATGACTGTATACAGTTAACTCTTTTTCATAAAAGTACAAGTCTTACAACAAACATACTTGAAACAAATTGTTTTTGAGTAGGTAGTTGTCCCATATTGTACGACAGCTCTGAATTTCTATGTAAAGTGAATTATTAGACTGATATGAATATATCACATATGATTGTATAGGATAAGCAACTGTGTGTTACATCGAACAGAAGGATGGAGATTCATAGCAATGAAAACTTTTGATTGATATATTCAATTTGTTCAACATAATAGTTTTCAGCTAAAGCCTCAGTAACGTAGAATCATCACAAATTCAGAGAGATTCACAGGTAATGATCATCATCATCGGCTTAGCTTTTTCTACATAGATATAAAATATCTTTATTAGATTTGAACTTCGTTCCTATTATTTTCGAAGCGAGTACACAACGAATACAGCCAATATTTTACATCGTTGATTCTTTACAGCCAGTTAATATTTTGTTTGACATTTTAATAATTGAATTAGTCAAATAGCAATTTTGATACAAGCGTAAATAGTATAGATGGAGAAAACAAATAACATTTTTTTTTTCATGCTGTAATTTGTTTTGTAAAATCATCATGAAACAAACAGCAGTAATTTTTAAATTCCTCAACTAAATAACAACACGATGAAAAGAAAAAGAAACATTTCATATGAAATTGCAAACCAAAACAGAACAAATAAATCAAGCTTTATATCGCATCGATATATATATACACAAAAAAAACATTCACTGGAAAACTAAGGAGATATCGAGAGTATGTGTATGTTCAACAATATTACGAGATTCGAATAGACATTTATAAAATTTGACAGGAATCAGTTCATTAAATACATCTAAGAAAAACAAAAAGCATCATATTAAAATCGATATAGATAGACAATTTAAACACATAGTAGAAAACAAAAACACAATTATGAGAAAAATAATAGCAGTTATAGTTCAGGTTCAACATTGTTGATTGTTTCGATTTCAAGCATTGCTTTTTGAACTTTTCGTCTTAATTCAAGAACTTTATCTTCTTGTGCATGAATATGATCGTCACTAATTGTTATTTGCTAAAAAATGAAAATATATAATATTATTAACTGATAACAGTATAGATGACAGATTAAAAAAAATAAAAAAAATACCTCTATTAATGGTTGATCTCGATTAATAAACACTGTTGGATTTTTTGTACATTGTTTACTTTGTCCAAATAATGCTCGAGAATTACAATATAAATGTAATGATGTTGCTAAACTTATTACAACTGTTTCAGGTGACATATCTAATCCAATACCTAGACAGCAAAAGAAAAAGAAGCAAAATAGTGTCATTGAGAAGAAAAAATAGTACAAACAAACAGAATTTTACTTTTAATTTGTTCTGGTAAATGAAAATCACAAAATGGTTCTCCATCAATATCGCTTGGGCGAATGTTTTGAAAACGTTTTTCCCAAAATAACTAAAAAAAATATAAAAAATTTTTTACTTAAAAATTCTACTTTGTAACAGTTACTTGTCGTGGTTTTGTTTTTTCACTTGGTTTGCTTCCTCCACTTTGCTGATGATCGGGCCTTACTACCTGAGGCTTTACTTCGTCTCGTTGAAGCGGATAATATGTGACAGGCTGTTTAAATATCGGCAACGTTTGCCTCAACGGACAACGAAGCGATGGATCAATTCTGGACGCTACAACAGCAACAATAAAAATTTTGAAAATAACAAACACGAGAGCTTATAATACATACTTCTATTCATATTTTCTTGTTGAGGATGTGATGAATTTCGTACATTTCCATTCAATTGATTTGAATTATTATTGTTAATCATATTTGAATTACTATGACTAACTTTCATTTTTTTCTGTGGTTGTTGTGCTGAATGATGTTGAGATTGAGGTTTTATGATTTTTAAACATCTATTTGGACTTGACATCATAGCAGATGATGTGTTTGTCGACAATTGGTTTACGGCGGCTGATTCATCACGAGCACGAAGATTTTTTGTCATTATATCGTGCATATAAACTAACTCATAAGAGTATTTTTATTTCGATAAAATGACAAATTGACAGTAATAGTGTTCTACTTGGAATACTGGTATATTTAATCAGACATCTATTGAAAAAAAACCTTTCACATAGTGAGAAGAGTTGTATAATGTCGTTTTACTGCATGAAAAACACAACAAAATATGTTCAATTGTTCAACTAACTCTAACGTTTATTTCTTACGTATCTAAAAATTGGCAACTAGATGCCAAATAACTGTGTATGAAAATAACAAGGGTACACGAACTTCAAGATAATATGAATAAACAGATGAAAAAAATCAGTAGGCCTGTAGCAATAAATGTAAATGTTAAAACTTTGGTCAAAAAAGTTACATTTTACAATTAACAATCTTTCTTTTATCAGCTGCGCCAGAACAGAATTCTGTTCTGGCGCAACTGATAAATGAAAGATTATAAATGTAAAGTGTAACTTCTCTGACCAAAGTTTTAACATTCACAGTTATTGCTACAGGCCTAGTATAAAAAAACCAGAAAAAGTCCTAGTCAAACGAAAAGTATTACTTTTTAAATAAAATAACAATGCTAAAAAATGAAACGGACAATAAAAACTAATTAACGTTTACAATTTTTTTTACTACATTTCAAAAGATAATCTCAACATGGAGCAGTGGAAATTTGAACAAGGGCATGTCAATTCGTCTTTAAAAACAAAAATAGCTATTTACAGTATTTACATTAAAATTTACAATATAATCTATAGAACTAAAAAAAACATGTAATAGAAAAAGACGGATAGTCGTATAGCGAGTAACAAAGCATATTTAGAAAATTTTTGCATAAAAAATAATAAAAAGTACAAAAAAGAAAATGACTAGAAAATGAGTTTGTATTTCAGCTGCATGCAAGAATTATGCTTTAGGCTAAAGAGAGCAAAATTTGTTCTTCGAGATCTTCAAGCACAGTAACAACGTCAATAATTGTATCTAACGGGGTAATAGTCGTATTATTCAACGAGCATATTTCTGTTCGTTCTTTCTCTCTTCTATGTCGTCGTTTCGACGTGAATGTATGTGTTCTCTTTCTTTTACTTCTTTTAGATTTTGAAGTAATTTGTTGTTTACATTCGATTAGTTGAACCGGTGATCCATTGGTATCACAATCCTTGGATAATAATGATATTGTTTGTCGTTTTCTATCGATTAATGGTGTAACGGCTTCATTTCGATTTGGACTTACACACATGGTTTTTGCCGTTGTACATGGACGTTTTTTTCGTGATCGTACTGGTTTGTTAAGTTTATTTATTGACACTGAAATATCCACTAACGGTTTAGTTGACAAAATTTCATCTTCATGACATAGTTGTTTCAATATTTGTTCGATTGTTAAATTCTCTTCTGGTAATAATGCTTTATTATTGCAACGGCAATATATTTTTTCGACAACTCCCTCCAAACGTGTTCGTTTCTCTTCAAACTAAGATAAAAAAAAAGAATTGCAAGATACATTGTTAAATTTACTTAAGTTCTCAATGTTTATGAAATTTTACCTGTTTTGGTGTTAATTTGTTTGAATTAGATGATGTTTTCTTTTGTTTATCTTGATGAAATTCTTTTTGGTGTGGCTAAAATATTAAAAAAAACATTTAGTGGAGCATGATTTAGTTGATATGCTAATCATACATACTAGATAATCTCTTTTGATTGTTAATTTTTCGATATAACTATCAAAACAATATGATTTTGTATTTACACTAATTTGTCTTGCTTTTGGTAAACGATAGAATGTTCGTGCTAATTTGTCGACACGATATTCACATATATAAATATCATTTAAATTTAAATAATAATCAGATACTGGTTTTCCTTTACAATAAGTTGTTTGATCAACAACAAAACATTGCTTTACTATAATGTTCAGTGGAAATGAATTAGTTGTTGGTGAACGAAATACTTCATTGTGAAAAAATTTTCGATTTGGTTCATGAAATGTTTCATACGGACGAATATAGTAGAATCCATACGCATATTTTTTATTTGATTTAGTTATATATAGACGTTCGACATAGAAAATATCATACAGTGGTTCCTGGTGTTTATTGGTATTATTTTCAGCTCTTTCACGTTGGCTTACAATATAATAACATTCATTTGTACGAACAGCAAATCCATCTTCTCGCGTCAGAATTTTGTAACATTCATCACCTGCTGATTCGTCGCCTGCTTTTTCTCGAAGACGAATATTTACCTGAGATATTTGACATTTAGAGATATCACATTCGCACGTTGGATTACATTCAAAACACAAATAAGGTGGAGAGGAATTAATACGATCGATATCGACACATGAAGCATGTTGCCATAACTAAAGAAAAAATAATATAATTTATTTTTTTATTGACGTATGTTCTTGAGATGATTGATCAAATGAGACAGATTTGGGCTCATACCTGACAAGCAAAACATTGGACAAATAGTCCATCATCGTACACTGTTCTACACCGACAGTGTATAATATACTCATTATCATCGTTTAAGTTTCGTTTTATTTTCTGAAGTTGAGATTGGTATGAGGATGAAGATGACAATATTATTGATGTTTGTTTATCTGGACGAGATTTTTGATGACTTGAAGTGCTATTGTGATTAAATATCTTATAAACCACTGGCGAATGTTCATCATCCATTGATAATGTATCTGTTTCGATCTCAATGTCGTATATTAGATGGTAAAGAATGTTCCTCATCTGACCTGACATAATTTCTGATTTATGAAAGCGAGCAAGAAAGTCTTCAAATGTGCTAACATTAGCAAACGAAGTAGTGGATGTAGAAAAACTATGTGGTTGATAAGAGTGATTGAGATTTTTGAATAAATCAGTTGCCGGTTTATATAATGGAAGAAGAATATGAATACAATAACCTTGTAATTCAATTACAGCCGAGCCGACATCTGAATCAGCACCACAATACGTCTAAAATTGAAAAAAATTATCTGTCGAAGTTACCTATCATCGCAAGTCAAAATTGATAAACGAGTGCAAATTTACCACAGCATTGTTGAACAAAAGTAATAAATCATCTTCAAATTGTTTATAGCAAAGATATTCTCCGTTGTCTAATGATGTTTTAATTATGGTTAAATCGATAGGTCTTTCAATCACTTCATAATACATAGGATAAAGTTTTTTCGACGGACATTTCTTTAACGCAGTCGCTGGAAGAATATCATCGTTAGCACGTTTATAACACATCAATAATCGTAGTATATCATTCAATATGTAAGTTAACTGAGCTAATTGAGCATAAAAACATTGGTCATCAATCAAAGTCTCATACCAACGTCCACTTTTAATGAAGTGCGTTCTGCGAATGAAATTGTAGAATAAATGAAACATTTCTAAATAAAAGAGAAACATGGATAGAGAGCCATACAAAGTTCTAAATAAGTTAAGAAATGAGTCGAACGAGATCTAGAACTTTATTCCATAGGAGAAATCGACATCAAAAAGGCGGCTATAAATTTCAGGGTGAGTTTTGACCGACCAACGGGATATATGTAGGTTTGTAGAGGAAGACTTCTTCTATCTAGTGGTGTATATATTATCATATTCCGTTGGGTACCGCGAGAGAAAATTAAAGGTAATCTAACTTTTTTTTCGACTTTTTTAGAAATATTTTTTATTTTTGACTTAAATATTGTACATTCTAGAGTAAAGTGTCCTCTACAAAATAAGACCACTCCCAGCTCTCCAAGGCCTTCCGTTGAGGGGAGACGAATTTTTTAAAGTTTTAAAGTTAATTTACTCTGAAAAGCCCTGGTTTTTTACTTTCGAAACGTTTTTTCTCTTTCATTCAGTACTTGATAAACAGTCAGTCTTGCAGAGTAAAGATTTCTCTACAAAATGAGATGTATCTCAGCTCTTCACCATGTTTTCTGGTAGAGTTATGATCATTTTGGACGTTATATTACAAGTGTGACTTTTTCAAAGATTTCCAGCAAAATGATCATAATTCTACCAGAAAATATGGCGAAGAGCTGAGATACATCTCATTTTGTAGAGAAATCTTTACTCTACAAGACTGGCTGTTTCAAAAGTTTATCAAGTACTGAATGAAAGAGAAAAAACGTTTCGAAAGTAAAAAAACCAAAAATAAAAATATTTCTAAAAAAGTCGAAAAAAAAGATAGATTACCTTTAATTTTCTCTCGCGGTACGCTACGGAATTTGATAATATATACACCACTAGATAGAAGAAGTCTTCCTCTACAAACCTACATATATCCCGTTGGTCGGTCAAAACTCACTCTGAAATTTATAGTCGCCTTTCTGCATGGATTCTGCTTGAGTGTTCTCTAGAAATTGGTTAAAACAAGCTACTAATGCAGTCTGTTTCCTTTTTCTAACGAGGGACCTCACCAGGTATCCCTCTCCACTTCAATGATCTTTTACTGATAGACAGAGGGAGGTGTTCAAGTAAAAAGTCTGGAAGGATTTGGGTTCAGTTGCTGCTTCCTTCAAAAGTTATGAATGTTTTTGTGTTACCCGTACCGATAAATTTTGCAAAAATAGTAAATTAAGATGTGAAACTTTCTGTGTTGTTGACAGACGATTAGTAATACTACAAGAAAAAATTTCACGTCTTAATTTGCTATTTTCGCAAAATTATGACTTTTTTAATGTTTTGTATGATGCTCGGTACGAGTAACACAAAAACATTCATAACTTTTGAAGGAAGCAGCAACTGAACCCAAATTCTTCCAGACTTTTTAGCACCCCTCTATCTATCGATCTAATCTTGAAAGTCGCAGAGGGGCACGTGAAGAGGTTTCCTCATAAAAAGCACTCCTTTCTCTTTCTCAAAAAGTACCTCGATGTCTGACTGTTGACGTTAATTTATCATTTTTTTTCCTTAATGATGATAATAAAGACACTGAGGAAGCAGTAGCACCATTCTGATTCACAATGGGTTTTTGTTGGTGATAATAATTTTGATAACAAAAGCAGTAAGATAAAAATAATTGTTGTTCACTTGTTGGGATTATTGGCAAGTCCGGCTTTATTTGTTGTTGTTTAAGTTGTTTCTGTTGTTTTATTTGTTTTACTTTTACTAAATTTCTCATTAGAAATACAGAGCAATGTTTAATCAAGCGCTTATCGTGACGTGTTAGTCTTTGTGTTGTCGTCGTTTTTTCTTGAGTGAATGTTGAGGAACATAATGATGTTGACATGGAATGTAGTAAAGGCGGTTTTGCACCGATAATTTTTCGACATTTTTCACTTGAACAATGACATTTTTGCTGATTATTTTCATTGAAACATTGAAAATTATAATCATATGTTAATTCTTCATGTTTTTTAATATTTTTCAAAGTAAACATACACATTCGTTGTAAACCATCAACGGTCCATTTTTGAAATTCACACTGAACAACAAAAAAAAACAATCAGTCGTCAATTATTGTAGACACTCACTTACATTTGGTTGACAACTATGATTAGCAAACCGTGCCACATTTCCCATTCTATAGGCATCAATTACTAAATTTTGTGATAATTTCATTGTGTAATGATGTTGATCATTTAAATATTTAGAATTCATACGATTCAAAAATTCATCATTCGTAATTATTTCACCAACATATTCACAAAGAAATGTCCCTTTCGGTATATCGGTTGTTGTTCTCAAACCAAGATCGTATTTTTTCGTATCGTACACTTCCAAATGTTTAAACCATTCATATTTACGTATTTTTTGATTTGTACACGCTAGACCACATGGACATGATTGTGGTGTACACTCGGTGAATATCATACGATTTAAACAATGTTCATCTGCGCAGTTCGATGGTGATTTACATTCACAAACTGGAGATGTTTCACTCGTATAACTTGTCAATAGATTTTGTCGAATAGTTGGATCACTGTATGAATTTTTCAAAATTTTCTTATAATTAAATATTTTTTTCGTCTTCTTTTCAATGATTTCATTGCATGGTTTAAGCACTTTTTTATTCTCTTGATCACCTTTATTCTGACGTTTCCAAGTCCAGTACATGTCATATGGTAATTGATAATCAAGATGTTGTACTTTTTCACCTCGAACAATAAAATTATAGAGTGGTGGTAAGGACGAAGAAGAATCCGAAATGCGTCTACTTTTTGATGATGACTGGTGATTAATACTAAAATAAAAAAAACAATATTTTGAAGACGACGTGTCGATGGAGCATCTCACAACTAGGCATACATCAGTTTTTAACTGGTGTCGAGGCATCCAGGAGAATTGCTATAAATCGGTTATCACGATCCTCTCAGAGCTGTAAAACATCTAATTTTGTAGAAAACTGTTTGCTCTACAAAATGCATTTGTTAAAAGAATTCCAGAATCATTTCTAAGAAAACTTAGAGCATTCTAAAATGTACTAAATTACGACTAAATTAACTGTTCGAACAGTTATTTTTCCATGATTTAATGTACTTTTGAATACTCCGAGTTTTCTTAGAAATGATTCTGAAATTCTTTTAACAAATGCATTTTGTAGAGCAAACAGTTTTCTACAAAATTAGATGTTTTACAGCTCTGAGAGGATCGTGATAACCGATTTATAGCAATTCTCCTGGATGCTCCAACACCAGTTAAAAACTGGTGCATGCCTACTCATAACTAAAGTATAGTGCCGTACCATTTGGTCTCTTTATTCGGATCTGACGTTTTATAGTAATTGGATAGCAGCCCATTTTTGATGAAACGTTTTTTTGGAAGTTCATCTAGCAATATGTCATCCACTCTGAAAAGAAAAACATGTATATAGAGGATTATTTCTTAAAATATGTCTTATTTACCTTCCGTCACTGTTCTTTTTTGTGGCTGTGTCCGTTTTCATCAGTGATTTTTGTTCTGTAGACGATGACAGTTTTCTTTTTCTGCTATTTATAGGTAATTGTGTAGTTTGTACTAAACTATTTGTACTTGTTGATGATATATGACGATTTCTTGTTTGTATGGGTGTGGGTGTGGGTGTTAATAAAACAATCGATTCTTTGATAATAAATGGCGCTGACTCCTCAATTTCGACACTAATACGACGCTCGTCTACTATTTTACTTTCATCATTTTTATTTTTTGGTAAAATATGTTTTTTGAATGGTAATAATGAAATTGCACTAGAATGAGAAGTACCAACAAAGTCATCAGCAATATCTTCTTCTATGTCAGTTGTTGTCATGCAAGTCGATGATGATTTTCGTTGTTCTTTATCCCGTTTCTTTTCACAATACTCAAATGATGATGAACTTGAAGTTCTCTGATGTTTCGATTTTGTAAACTTTTTTAAACGACGTTGTTTCGTTGTTAAAGATGATGTAGAAAAAAAATCATTGTACGAAATTTCTTTTATGGGTAGCGGTACAGAATGGTCTGTTTTTTTTTTTTTCTCTAGTGGTTGTTGGTGCTTTTTTGAACGTCTTTGTGGTGGCAGAGGTGTAACGACTATTGGTTCTTTTGGTTCTTGTTCGACAACAGGAGAAGTATCTGTTTGAATACCAACCGATTGTTTGGAAATACTTGTTACCACATTGGACAAAGAAAGTTTTGGTTTCGTACCAAATTGTTGATGACTGGCATTTGCTGAATAAAGTTGTTTACCATATGTTTGGAAATAAAAATCCTTCATCTGTTTCACTAGTAAATATTGTTGGGATTCTGATGTTGTTTGAGCTAAATTTGTTTCTTTTTGAAGAGACCCCGGCGATGTTCTCGACGTCTTATTCGGTTTAATAGTAAATGTTTTTAATCGTTGTGCTTGGAGAATCTAAAATTTAATACAAAACAAAAACATAAGTGACTATATACAAATTTGAAAGAGAGGAAAAAGTTTGAGAAGAACGATCTTCGATTGTGTGCTCCGGAAAGCAAAATACTGAGTTACTAGTAGTTAGTTTTACTAGTTATTATTATGCACTTTTTTCTGCATATAGTAGTTTTTGAAACAAGACAAACAAAAGCTCAAATGTAACAGCATATCCACATTAGAATTTGATTCCAAACAATGAGCCGTAAAAGAACCTCTACATTACTCACCTGAAATAAATTTTTGGATGTTGATGAATTTGCATTAGATGATTTTGCCTTCTTTCTTGTATTCAAATTGTTTGGCCACGATGTTGTGAATGACGATGGAGGCTTTGTTGCTGTGATTTTGGTTTGATTCTCGTAAATATCACTCCATATTACCGTTTTTAAATAAAAATTGTTTGCATGTAAATTGGGAAGCAATTTTGGTTTATTCATTTTTTGAAAAGCATTATGATTCGCTACTTTTCCTCGTACAACTCCCGTTAAGCCTTTTGTTCGTGATTTGAATATTGGTTGCTTTTCTCTCAAAAATTTGACACAATATTTTGTTTCATCATCAACGCGTAATAGTCTAATATGATCTGTTAATGTTTCAGTATCATTGTAAGATAAAAAACGTGTTGCGATCTCTGATTGATCAGCGTTAGAGTCTCGATGAATTTTCTCGTTTACATGCCCTGGTAATGAATTCAAATCGGTAGCTATTGGCAGAAATTTACTATTTATTGGGGTCAGATCGACCGATGATTGGTGTACACTGTTTTCTTGTTCTACTGTTATTGGGGAGGTAGTGCGTGGACATGATTCTGATTTACGGTTTCGTATATCGATGAGAAGCTCATCGTCAGAATCTTGTTGTACTTGTTGTGTTTGTTCTTGTTTTTTCTTGAATGAACTTGAAGTTGGTTTACTCTTCGACGACTTTTTAATTATAATTCTCTTTTTCTTTTTGTATAGTTTCTCTTGAATGACACCGTCGACGTTTTCTAAATGAAAGTGAACAATAATATTGTCCGAATCTTTAGAGAACTAGTCTTGCTGTAACATTAGTAGATTATCAATAGTAAACTCGATTAGTAGGTATGCAAAATGTAAATAAAATGCATGTACCTATCATAGCCTGTGACAATTCGGGCTGAATAACACTTGATTCTTTGTTATTTTCATTTTCTACTGCGTCGTGTCTTTCTGTTGTTTTGTCTTCCAATCCAATGTCATACGAAGACACAAATAGCGATGCAGCTGATGGTGATGGCGTACTTAATCTAAAACTCGAGCTACTATTAATTGGCAACGGTGTTTTTTGTTGTTCTTGTTCATTGTTCACCAATTCTAACTTTTGACAAACTGTCAATTCTTGCTCGGTTGACAAAGTAGGATTGATTATGTTGTGATATGTCAATGGTTGTTGCTGTTGTTCATCATCTTCCCCGTTCCAAAGACTTGAATGATTAGGATTTTTCACTACTTTCGGTGTACCTTCTTCTTCGTCTTCTTCATCTAAGCGAACGGATTGCGTATGTGATTTTGCTGAAACATTTGACAACGGCGACAGCAGTGAATCAAAATTATTTACACCCATGTTGTTCTGTGCTGATGTGGCACATGGCGAGGATGAATTTTCATTTTGATGTTTCGCTGTATTTTTATTTGCGATGGCTATCGTAGGAGAATGTGATGTGTGATTACTATTATTATTACTATTTCTAAACGTTTTGATGAGATTTTGAAACGGATTTGGCGCACTCGCTGATGGTACATTTGTTTTTCGCACTGTTTCCATTAAACGAAACCAACCGGCCATTTGAGGAGCATTGGAGGTTGACTTCGTTTTTAGCTAAAGTACACAAAAATAATATAGACATGCTTAGTGTACTAGAAGGGAGAGAATAAAAGATTTGGAAGAGACATTGACAGAATGTATTCTGATAGTTCTTAGCACAGTGCGATGCATTTTGCGGTTGAAACTAGTTCCACCTTAATGACTTCTTTTTTCTTCTAGAATACAAATATAAATCCCATTATAGTGCTCGAGAAATTAGACTATCGAAAGAAAACACGAGTTTTGTAAAAAAGATTAAAACCTGACGCCGGATCTTCTCTTTCTAAAAATAGCGAAATCACAGCAAATTCGACATGGGACCAAAACCTGACGCATTAAGTATCGAGTGTTTGTTTCGCCTTCGTATTTTGTGAGAAGTTCAAGTTTTGTTTGTATCTGAATGACGAAAGAGAGAAATGAATAAATAAATAATCAAAAACTGCTATTTTTTTAATGAAGTGAAAAATCAGATCTGCAAAAAAGTAAAAGAACGTATTTTTTATAAGAATGTTCATAACAGCTATGCTTTCGCAGGTATAATTTTAACTGGAACTAAACTAACTTGTCATTGTGAAAGTTCGAGGCTCAATAAAATTCCAAGACTGTGCCAGTGTCTGTTTTTTATTTAAAAGTTCTATTCAGATCATTTTGCTCTGTTCTTAACATTTTTGTTGAATGGTTGTTGATGGAAGAAAACATCTCTTTTCTTGCGTTGATAACGACAACGCTAGCTAGCTGCACGAAATACAACTGTTTCGTTCATTTTCGAATCGAAAACAGGATAAGAATCTGATGTCAGACTAGAATATCTGAACTTTTCTTTGAAGGAAACTGCAGAAGTAAACATGTTCTGTATGCGCGTTTATCGAAGTGAAATTATGTGAATTTCAACTGCCATTAAATTTTATTTTTCTCGCATTTGTCTACACATACTGTTTGCTGATTTTCTGTCATTGATGTTGCAGTTTTATCCATATTATTAAACGATATCTTTACATCGTTGTTACTGCTACAATTTGATGATAACGATGAATCTTCGTGTAAACTATCGTTTGCACTACCCAATTTGATTTTGAACTTGATTTTTTTAGGATTTTCATCCATTTCGGATAAATATTTAATAGAATAAATGTAACACAAATAACCACATCTACAGAAAAAAAATTCAATCTTAATAATACATAAAAACGCTGTGCGTTGCTCAAAAAAGTTCTATGGTAATATAACATATCAGTTTTGGTTGAAACATTCAGAAGTACTTTGAAAGCAGTATTCTGCATTCGAGATGCTATTTTTATAGACAAATATTTTTTTCATAAATTGACAGATAAAGATCTATTTTTAAAATAGTGTGCAGAAAAGACTCAAAGTAAAACTCGGAAAAAGTAAGAGAATTTATTTATAATGAAGTGTTATTAGATTCATTCTTTAGCCTTAAAATGTGACGATAATATTGACGAAATTCAATGTATCGTACTTAGTCTCACGGCCATGGTCATGGTTGGTCGGGCTAGCGAAAGCAAACCACTTCCATTTACGATCAATCAAGGCCTTTTAAAAAGTACATTTAACTTTTGAAGTGAATTTTTTCTGTGGTTCTGGATACAAATACGGAGCCAAACATGCATAGACAAGATATTTTTCAATTGCTACACGATTTTATACGTTGGAAGATGGCAATAATTTCCTATTTGTTATGTCTGCTGAGGTCGCCACCTAGTAAAAAAAAGGTTAGAAGTGGGAGTATGTAGGTGTGCTCCATTTTCGGAGCACTCCTTCAGAAAAAGCCACTAAGAGCACTCTAGAGTACTCTTTTTTGGAGTAGTCCAGAATACTCCTAAAAAAAAGAGCGATGCGGAGCACTCCTTTTTATAAAGTGCAGCCAAGGCACTGTAGAGCACTTCAGAAAAAGTGTAGTTTTTAGAGTATTCCTTTTAAGAATATGCACTTCGAGTACTTCGGAGTAATTCTTAAAAAAGGGTTATAGAGATTAATAGCCACATTTTCACCAGTAACTTCATCAAAAGCGATTTTTGCACAACTTATTGCAGGATCGTAAATTTTATTGTTGGAATTGTCTATCATCGTAAATATTTTGATTCAATCAGTGGGAAAACATGCCACTGAAAATTGCTGAGAAAACGAGCTTTATTTTGAACCGCAAATAGGTACTAGAAGAACATTTTTATGAAAAGTTGACAGAAATGGATCCAGATCGGACTTGTAGTCACCGAAATAGATTTCTGATAGAGAGGGAGCCTTCAAGGTTTGTTATGTGTTGTTTAACTATAAGAGATTATTTTATAACGAAGGATTATTTTCTAGGTGAAACATATGTTTAACCTAAATGTCAGTTATAACTGACATTTAATAAGCCATGTAATGCATTTTAAATGTATGCCCAAAAAACTGGCTTTTAACACCCAAATAACTGTTAAAAAACTACCAGGTAACACTCAATTTATTGTCTGTTATGTGACTGTTGATAAAGGCTCGAGAAAAGTCATTTAACATACCACAAAATGTTGAAAAAAAAGACATTTGACAGTCGCTGTTTACTGTAAATATTTTGGCTGTTATAATGGTAAAAAAGCGACATTTAATTGTGCATCCTAAAATATAAAATAACTGTCACAGTTAAACAGGCCATTCTTCTATTGCAAAATATACAGCGGAAAAACTGACATTTAAAATGGCTGTTTCATCCACCCTTTTATTTTGCAATCATGACTGCTCATGAGGTTTTTTTTGGTTGATCGGCTAATCGATCCGTGATCTACGATCTATTGCATTATTGAAATATAGAATAATCATGATCTTTAGTTGAAGATAAATATTTAGCTATTTCAAGTTTATAACTACATAAATTAGTGGCTGCCACGGGGAATGACGTAGTGAATCGTTGTGAATAAGATTAATTAGAAATATTTGACGTATTATATTTAGTCTTTTAGCCGATGACGACGAGTTATCAGTAATTTTTGTCAATGAAATAATATAATACTAAACGTGGTTGATTTACACGCTGAATTCGGGGCCGCAAACTGTAAAAAATAAGTGTTACAAAAGGTGTTTTTTATGAAAACTGTTTTGCTATAAAGCGCGTCGCTAAACATAGGCCTTTCAGATATAGAGAAAATAAATCACTTTTGATCTGCTGTAAACTAGAGCGCTTCGTGAAAAAACGCGCTTTTAGAGTGATTGCAAAGGGAGCATTTTAGAAAAATTTATAGTAGAAAGACGCTTTTGAAGTGACCCAAGAGAAAACACTGTGACAAACCCAGATGATTTTTCTGCAACATAAATCTGGAAAAATCTTTGCAGTAACTTTTGCAGATTCTGCAAAGGGATTCTGCAGATTTGAAGCAATTCTGCATTGCAGATGTGCCAAGATTTGACCAAAGATCTGATGCAGATCTGCAAAAAAATCTTTACAGTTTCTTTGCAGGTTTTTTGCAGAGAAACTGCAGATTTTTACAGCATTTTTTTGTTTGTATATTTGTGTCAAAACATTTGAAATATATGAAATAAATGTATATCCCACAGTCCCACAGCACGCTGAAAA